GGGGCGGGCCCCAGCCATTTAAATTTAAATGAAGCCGCGATTATTTTAATCGCGGCTTCATTTCCCTTTTCCGATCTGGCTAATCTACATGCCTCCGTCGACGGAGGCATGGAGTCTGGACACAGCCTTAGAGACAGGGTATGTCTACACAGCAGGGCTACAGTCCAATTAAGCTACACAACTTCAGCTACGTCAATGGTGTAGCTGAAGTCAAAATAGCTTAATTTGGCTTTTACACAGCAGGAAGTCTATGATTCTATGAAGAACAATCTTCCTTTGACTTCCCTTACTCTTTGTGAAATGAGGGTTACCAGGAGTCGGTGTAAGAAGTCCTCCAGCTTGCCATTATTTCGGAATAAAGGCTTGTAGTATAGACACGTTTTGTTATTCTGAAATAATGCTGCTTTATAGCTGTACTCTAACAGAATTATTTGGGCATCAGCTTTCGCAGTTAAAAACCACTTCATTAGGACTCCGCATGGTTATTTTTATTATTTTACATTATAACGTTGGACATTCTGTGCATGAGGTAAATTTGAGCTGATTGTAAAATCCATGTTTCTTTTTTCCTTAAAAAATTCCAGACGCAATGCCTTCCTTCCAAAAGTTTTGGGTCGGATTTAGGTTTTGAGAGAGGGTGAAATGAACATTTCTAGCTCATTTCAAGTAGGTGTTTTATCTCCAGGTCAGATTTTAAATGCCCAGCCCAAACAAAAACGATTGTTTCCTTTCAGTTCTGCTTTTTATTGCTGAAACCTTGAAAACTCAGTGAAAAACCAAGTTGCCTTGACGCATTCTCTGTTTGGCTGAAAACTGCAGTTTTCGCTAAATAATTTTTTTTTAACGAACATTTTTTGGCCAGCGTTGCTATGGCTTTTTAAAAGTCAACCCGGCTAACTTCGGCTTCGGGCAGTTGTGAGAATATCTGTGGCTCTGGAGGTTTTGCCCCACAAACGGTTCTCTTAAGCATCGCTAGCAGATCCTTGGCGTTTGCTAGTGGTTGTTCTCCCAGGCTAAAAAAGTTGCAGTTATCCACCCAGCAAGCAGAACCGACATGAAGTGACCTAGCAGTGCAAATAGTTGACACAGAGCCCAGAGTCTGACATGATGAGGTGAATCCTTGCATACAGCACCCAGGAACTGGGGTGTTCTCCAGTGGGTTTGCAGGCAGGAAAAGGGGTGATTCCCTTCTCTGGGGGTGGGGTAGGAAGCTAACGCTTACCAGTTTGCAGAGAATCTGTCCTTGCGTCTGCAACTCCCTGCAAGTTCTTAGCCTTCTGGTTTGCTGACCGCTCCATTGCTAAGCCTTTGAGGTCAGACAAATGCCAAAGTGCAGGTTGCAAGACTTAAGTGGTGAGATGCCCAACCAGGTTGGGGCATTTGGAGACAGACGGGTTCGGGTCCAGGGTGCCAAGGAAGTTTGGATGCTGGGGAGCCATTCAGTGAAGACGTACGACCCGGGAACTTGGAGAAACCAAATGCGAATCAGGATTACAAGGCAAACAGCTTTGCAGGCTGGATCCTCCCGCTTCCTTTCTTCCCCATGCACCGTGAGGTTGTAGAGCAGTTAATGTGGCCTTTGTGTGGCAGGAGTCTCCTGCCACTTGTGTAACCCACACACCGAGTGTGGCTCACCGTCCCATGCAGTGGCACTGAGACCACAGCGAGCGAGACAACCAAGGGAGCTCTACAGCCTAAGCTGAGAGGCAGCTGTATTCCTAGTCCAAGCAGTAGAGGCTCCATGCTAAGCTCCAGAGGTCCCAGGTTCAAATCTGCCCCGTGGCAGTTATGCTTGCCCAGATGGAGAGCAGTGAGGGTCCCCCCTTGCGGGTGATACCTGCTCTGTGATAGGAGTGGTAGCTTCAGGCCTATTCTTAGCGAGCAGGAATCTGGCTCACATGGTCCCCTCACCTCAATCAGGTGCTTTCCAGCGGAGAAGGATGGAATGCGCAAGGATCATTGAGGGGGGACATGATAGCCGTTTTCAGGTATCTAAAAGGGTGTCATAAGGAGGAGGGAGAAAACTTGCTCATCTTGGCTTCTGAGGATAGGACAAGAAGCAATGGGCTTAAACTGCAGCAAGGGAGGTTTAGGTGGGACGTTAGGAAAAACTTCCTGCCTGTCAGGTTACGTCTACACTGGCATGATTTTCCAGAAATGTTTTTAACAGAAACGTTTTCCGTTAAAAGCATTTTCGGAAAAGTGCGTCTAGATTGGCAGGACACTTTTCCGGAAAAGCACTTTTTCCGGAAAAGCGTCCATAGCCAATCTAGACGCGCTTTTCTGCAAAAAAAACCCCGATCGTCATTTTCACAATCAGGGCTTTTTTGCGGAAAACACTACTGTGCTGTCTACACTGGCCCTTTTCCGGAACAGTTTTCCGGAAAAAGACTTTTGCCCGAACGGGAGCAGCATAGTTTTTCCGGAAAAGCACTGATGATTTTACATGAGATCGTCAGTGCTTTTCCGGAAATTCAAGTGGCCAAAGCACTGATGATTTTACATTAGATCGTCAGTACTTTTCCGGAAATTCAAGCGGCCAGTGTAGACAGCTGGCAAGTTTTTCCGGAAAAGCGACCGATTTTCCGGAATACCTTGCCAGTGTAGACACAGCCTCAGGGTGGTCAAACACTGGAATAAATTGCCCAGGGAGGTTGTGGAATCTCCATCTGTGGAGATATTGAAGAGCAGGTTAGATAAATGTCTATCAGGGATGGTCTAGACAGTATTGGGTCCTGCCATGAGGGCAGGGGACTGGACTCGATGACCTCTCGAGGTCCCTTCCAGTCCTAGTAGTCTGTGATTCTATGATAGGGCCCTCTCCATGGAGCAGTCTACCTCACCGGCCTAGGGCTGAGCCCAAAAGTCTGCCCCACTGTGGGCACCCAGGATTAAAATGGAAAGTGCTGGTTTCGGGCCCATCCCTGACAGAAACTCAGTCCCAGCAACATGAGCAGCGGCACGGAGAAGAGCTGAAGGCTGTTTATCCTGGCGAGGGCTGTGAGTGACAGCCCTGTGATGAGCCGCGACTGTGTGAGACAGGCCAGCTAACAGCTCCTCGGCCTGACGGGGAGCGGGGCCGGGGGTGGGTGTGCGCAGAATTCTCACCCGGCAGCCTGGCGGCTGGGAACAAACCCTCGTAGCTCTGAGGACGCGGCAGCCGTCCCTCAGTGAATAACCTGGTAAGCTTGGTGGCCTCGGGGGGACCCCGGCTCGGCAAACTCCAGTGGTAGGATGGGAGCCAGCCGGTGAGCTCTTCTGAGCAGAGTTTCACGCCTACCTGGCTGGAGCGGCCCAGGCCTGGTTAGCCCCTCACTGGGGTTACGTTACGGCCTCGTCACGCAAGTCCCCTTTGCACCCGCGCTGCCGAGAGGGGAATCTGGCCCATGGAGCCTCACCGACTCGCCCACCCGCAGTGGCACTCCCGGCAGGATCGGGCCCCTTGACACCAGCTCTTTAACCCCTGGGGAGACAGCATGAGGGAGGCAGAAAAACAGCACAGTTCCTGGGGACGGTGCATGTAACACAGGCGCTGGGCTGTAACTGAGACTGTCCTTTACACCGGTGCGGCGTGGGTGTGAGCCTGCGTGTGTGTGTGTGTGTGTGTGTATGCGGAGGTGGCATTTCACACTCACACGTCACAGCTGCTGATGCCAGCACGAAGCTCAAGGCAGGGAGGCATCAGCCTGCCCTTTCTGGTCTGAGCGGAGGCACCAGGGCGCCCTTGTAGCCAAGAAGGCGAATGGCATATTGGGGGCATTAGGAGGGGCATTGCCAGCAGATCCAGAGACGTGATTATTCCCCTTTATTCGGCTCTGGGGCGGTCACATCTGGAGTACTGCGTCCAGTTCTGGGCCCCCGTTAGAGAAAGGCTGTGGATGCACTGGAGAGGGTCCAGCGGAGGCTGACACAACTGCTTAGGGGGCTGGAGCACATGACCTATGCGGAGCGGCTGAGGGATTTGGGTTTGTTCAGTCTGCAGAAGAGCAGAGTGAGGGGGGATTTGAGAGCAGCCTTCAACTTCCTGAAGGGGGGATCCAAAGCGCATGGAGCGGGGCTGTTCTCCGTGGGGGCAGATGGCGGAGTAAGGAACAATGGGCTCAATTTACGGGGGGGGGGGTCCAGG